TCATTGATTGGCTGCCTCCTGCACGCCCCATACTGGAGATCAAGTCCACAACCAGGTTATGCACCCTTACCCAGAATCGAGCACAGGACCTTTCAGCCCACAGGCCAATGCTCTATCCACTGAGCAAAACCAGCTGGAGGCGAAGCTCCAGTGTTCTGCAGCACCATGCCTTGTAACATTTACACAGCACGAGAGGTGTGCACATGTGCCGGCCCTGTGTTTTCCTGGGACCCAGCTTTTTGAGAGACTTGACTAATGTAGGCAACGCAATTCCCCTCTCTATGCCTCTTTCCTCCTTCAATACATGTTACCACTCTTAATTCTTTCCTCCCCCCTTTTCTCTTTTTCTCAACTCACATCCCCTGCCCCCCAATTTGGTCCTTTGCTCACTGGCTTGTACACTCACTCAGCAAACATCACTAACGTCCTCTGCTAGGCTTTGCCTCTGCCCTGGGGAGGTGGGGAGGTGGAGGGACACAGAGAATCCAGGACAGAAAAGCTGACACTGGGGGAGGCTGCATCTAGGGGATGGGGACAATGGGGAACCCAGAGAAAAGGAAAGGAGGTTTTCTAGAAAAAATTAAGGCACCCCTCTTGGAGCAGGTGCCTGTTTGCTGGGCCTCAGAAGTAGAAGATAGGGGCTCCCCCACTTCAACTGCTTCCTGCCCCATCTCTCCCTTGAGCCCTATGATGTTGAGATGAGGATTCAGGCCCTACCCCTAGAGATGGGGAGAATGGGCCCACGCTCACCTCAGGGAGACAGCTGAGCACAGAGGTACTAACTAGGAAGGTAATGCCCACAGCTCCACGGTGGGTGGGGCTGTCTGGCTCAGATGTCCCAACCACAGCCACACGTCACGGTGCTCCCCGGCTGCGGCCTGAGCCTTCCCCAGGCTGCCAGACTCTGTTTCCCCTCCCTGGAGGGCGTGAACACAACCCTACCAAGTCCCTCCGTGTGGAAGAGGCTTTCCGAACACTCACTTGGCCTCCTTGGTTATGCGACTTCAACTCGCGGAGTCCGTTTCTGCAGCCCCATCTTGGGATGATGTTGTTTCCACCCACTTTAAGCTCGAGTTACCAAAAAGATGCCCGAGCATGACAGCTCCTCGCCTTCTCTGAGCCACTCGTAAGGTGCCTGCCACTGCTGACAGCACGCTCTCCACTGCCCGTTGAGATCTACTACTGTTCCATTTGGCAGATGTGAAAAATAAGGCTCGGAGAGGGGAAGCTGCTTGCCCTCAGCAAGAAACTTGAGAGCTGAGGTGGCAAATTTTTTTCCTAAAATGGCCCAGGGAGAGTCAATAATTGGCTTTGTGGGCGGATCTCTGTCACAGCGACAGCTCTGCTATGGTATTGCAAAAGCAGCCGTAAGACAATAGGCAGATGAAGGAGCGTGGCTGTGGGCCAGTGAAGTTCCTTGGTGGACACTGACATCAGAATTTCGTATCAATTGTATGTCAGGAAATAGGCTTATTCTTTAGACTTTTACCAGCCACTTAAAAGCAAAAACGCTCAAACAAAAAAATTCATAGCTTTCAGACTGTAGTTTTTATTTTATTTTATTATTATTATTTTTTTTATCTCTAGAGCCGATGCTGTTATTTGCTGTAGTTCATTAATGTAGTCACTCATTCCATAAATATTACTGAGGCCTGTCATTCTCTAGGCGTGAGAGGTAGACTGGAAACAAGCCATTGAATTGAAGGTGCTCCCTCTTCAGGAGATAACACTTTTGTGGGGAAAGTATTTGTAAGCAAGCAAGAATATTCTAGATGGCAGAAAGGGCCAGTAAGGAAGTTTGTCGGGTGATGTAACAGGGCCGAGGGAGGGGCACTTCCATTTGGGTTGTCTGAAATGGTGACCTTTGGAGCCCTCTGAATTCCTCTTTTTGTTCTTTTTGTCAGCTTAGGCAAGCATTGGCTGTCGCCCTGGCTGTGGGCTAGGGCTTAATAATAAACAGATTGGCTTCTTGGCAGAGCAGTGATGTCCAGGGGAGGGCCCTGTGGCCTCAGTATGTTTAAAAATTTCTTCCTGGTCGGTCAGATTCCTCAGAGATGGGTCTGTTGTCATCCCATCTTCTGGGGCCCGACGCTGAGCGGGCGAGGGTTGAGGTGGGGAAGTTTTAGTGTCTGCTTTTAGGTTCATAGGTTTGCTCAATCGTCCTGTGTTCAGAGAGATCCTTCTGGCGATAACTGCTGCTCCTCTGACCAGAAACACTGCTATTTCCGCTCTTTGGAGGACAAAAGAAAACAGATATTATCCTACCTTGATGGGAAGTGTCAAAACAAACATACAAACAAACAAAAAAATGAATCCACTTCAAAATGGAGCTGGGACTGCCATGCTAGAGAGACTTCCGTGCACATCTTATGCCTCAAACCTATGGAATGTAGAAAAAAAAAAAAAAAAGGCCAAATAACCTTGGGGCAGGGCTTAAGAAGACTTGTTTCCCCCCAAAAAACTGTAAACAAGGCAGGTATAGCCTGGCTTGTGTGGCTCAGTGGTTAAGGATTGACCTATGAACCAGGAGGTCACAGTTCTTTGAATCCCAGTCAGGGCACATGCCTGGGTTTCAGGCTCCATCCCGGGGGGGGGGGGGGGGGGGCACGCAGGAGGCAGCTGATCAATGATTCTCTCCTATTATTTGCTGTTTCTCTCTTTCCCTCTCCTTTCTGCTCTGAAATCAATTAAAAAATATATTTTAGAAAGCAGGTAGAATGACTTTCTGGACTAAAAATTAAAAACACTGCTTGGCATTAACATCACTATGTACCGATACAAATGCCTTCCGCCTATCGATGTCATTGGCCCCCTTCCCTTCTCATAAGCACCCCTTGCCTTTGCATCCTAAGTGGGAGGAAGACTATTTGGTTTTCTGCCTGAATCGGCGCGTCCCGAATAGCTATCCTGTTTTATTTCAAACACATGCTTGTTTCCACTCGCTTTAAAAGGCCTTTTCTGCTTTGGTTAGCTGGAGAAAAACGGATGTCTCTCTTGGGAATTGACTTTCAGTAAACTCTTCTATTTTAGTGGCCAACCATCACCCCCTCCTTCTGCGTTGGCAAGAGTCACCAATAACTGGACTTTGGCGGATGGTGCTGGTGAAATTCCAAGAGGCAAATAATAGTTGGCTTTCCACCCTGCTGGCTAGCCGTTTTGTTTCGGGTCATGCCAGTGGGGCTTCAGAAGAGTGAAAGTAAAGGCTGATGCCCCGTTCGTCATGTTTACCCAGGATGGTGGGAACCCAGGCTGGCTGCCAATGTGCAGAAAGAACATTCCAGTCAGAGGGACTGCAAGGGTGAAGGAACAACCTTGGTCCAATGCAGTGGGTTCTCCAACTCGGGCAAATCCTGGAATCTTCCGGTTGGCTCATTCAAACACTGATTGCTGGGCTGAGGGCTCGGCTGAGGGCTGGGCTTTTTCCATTCCCAGAGTATCGATTGACAGAGGTGCTAGAATTTGCATAGGTGATGTTGTCGCTGTTGGTTTGGACATCACACGTTATAAACCGATTACATAACGGAAGCATTTAGCACCTGCGCATTAACCTGAGCCAGCATCATTATGGTTTCTCTCTCTGTAATTCCCCAGCAAGGCCCAATGCTAGAACATCGAGCACAGCGTGGCATCCTATACCAAAACCCCCCTGCATTTCCTGGCCTGCTGGCCGAGGCTTCAGACCACTGGGACAGTGAGTCCCAGAGCAGCTCAGGGGCTGGCCAGTGTCCACCCGGCTGGTCTGGGCAGAGCAGGGCTTTCTTCCCATCTCTCAGTCCAGGGTTGCTTCCTCTTTTAGGTTTTGAGTTATGGCAGCTTCTCTGCTCCTTCTCCCACCCCCGCCTGAGTGAAGGGAAATTTGAATTTCCTCTGTTTCACTCGTGTCCTTTTCCTACAAGGGGAATTTCTCTACCTGGACTCTCCAGCCTTCCGCTTGTGGGGTCCAGAGGAGGCGCCTGACAGGAAGTGGTCTGGGTGGGTGGGTGGGGGCAGGTCGAGGAAGGTCTAGGGTCCCAGAGAAGTTGGGGGGGGGGCAGAGCATGTTACTCAGGGTTCCACTGGGGGGTTTTGCTCCACAAGAGAAGGCAGCTGAGGCCCGGCTGTCCTCTGGCCGTTCTGCAGAAATACTGGATTTAGGGGATCCTTGGGGGACCTGGGTGGGAGTGACAAGGAGGGGAAAGAGACAATGAGGTTCAGAAAGTGAGAGCAAGAAACAGGGGGAGAGAAGAGGGTGGACAGGGAGAGATACTGAGACAGAGACGGGGGAGAGTCAGAGACATAGAGCCAGAGAGACAGAGACGTAATAAGAGATAGAACCATAGCTGAGATCCAGCCCAAGAAGACAATCAGGGACAAACGTAGACGCAGGGACAAATGGTGAGAGATGCATAGATAAAAGGAGAGATACCGAATTACAAAGAGGCATCCAGAGAGGCAGAGAGAGAGAAGGGGGGGGGGGGGAGAAACAGAAAGAGAGTGACACAGAGAGAAAGACACACACACACACACACACACACACACACACACACACGCACAGAGGCAGAGAGAGGGGGGGCAGAGAGGAGAGAGAGAGGCATAGAGACAAAAAGAGAGAGACACACAGAGACAGAGACAGAGAGGGAGAGAGAGAGCCATAGAGACAGAGAGACACACACAGAGAGACAGAAAGAGACGCAGAGAGACAGAGAGGCAGAGAGAAAGAGAGACAGGAGCACAGAGAACGTGGGAGAAAGAGGAAGCAGCGGGGCAGAGATTGAGGGAGGGAGAAGAGAGAGAGAGAGAGAGAGAGAGAGAGAGAGAGAGAGAGAGAGAGAGAGAGAGAGAGAGAGAGAGAGAGAGGAAGGAGACAGAGATGAGATCCAGAGAAGAGAAAGTCAGGGAAAGTCTGGCTGGAGGGGGCGGGCGCTGGGATCCCCGCCGTCTCCGCCCCGGAAAACGGGGCTTTCGGGTTCACTATAAAGCGGGGAGCCGGGGACCCCGGTTTTAGCCGCCTGCCGCTGGCCATGCGCTCCAGCTCGGACGCCGCCCCGGACCCCGAGGCCCCGCGGCCGCCCGCGCCCCCCGGCCCCGCCTGCCGCCGGCTGCCCTGGGCGCTGAGCGCCGCGCTGCTGCTGCTGCTCGCGGCCGCCTGCGCCGCCTGCGCCGCCTGCGCCGCCCGCGTTTGGCCCGGCCCCGCGCCCGCCGGGGGGCTCCCGGAGCGCCCCCCCGACGCCCGGGCCCGCCTCCCCGACTCCCCGCAGGTGAGACGCGCCCCTCCTGGGGACCCCTTCTCTACCCTGCACCCCGGGCCGACCCCCTTCTGCACCCCTTCTTTATCCAGGACTCCCCCTTCTCGCCTTGTTCCCCCAGAGAGACCCCATCTGTATCCGGCACCCTAGGGTGGGGCCTTTTCTCCATCGCGGACCCCGAGGGGCACTTCGAACCTTTGAGGGACCCCCCCCCCTCCACTTTCCCCCTAACTCCCGGAGGACCTAGACTTTCTCCCAGTCCCCTGGGGTGTTCCCCCTTTCCTTCCAAGACCTCCCTGTTCCAAGGGCACCCGGAGGGAACACCCTTATTTTCGGTCTTGAATCCTGCAGGGTGCGGTCCTTGCAGACCCCTCCGCGGGTTGGGGCCGGTGGAGCCCCCACGTTGAGGTGTGCTTGAGCGTGGGGGTTGGGGTGCTCTTTTGGAGCAGGGGGAGAGGAGAGCGTGTGGTCTGCGCAGACGCGGTGGGGCCCTTGGCACGGGGCTGCGGAGCGGCTGGGGGACCCTCCATTCACTTTCTGCCTTTCCTCCTCAGGATGTGGGCGTGTTCGCGCAGCTGGTGGCCCGAGATGGTGAGTGTCCTGCGCCATCCCTCTCCTCCTCTTTACTCCCCCCCACCCACCCCCGCAGGGGGACACTAAGTGGGAGGGTCCGGGAACTGGAGGCCCCCTTCTGACTAAATGGGACCCTCGACTCCTTCCCTCTCTGAAAGCTGTCCTCTCCCCTCTTTGCACCTGTCTCTCTGGGCTTCCGCTGCTTCTCAGCGGACTTCCATCTCTCTCAGGCCTGGGGCGGGATCCCCAAACCCCACCCTGGTCAGGTCTCTCACCCTGGGCTCCCGGAAGTTCACCCTCTCCTTCCCACTGGCTTCCCTCCTTCGTCCAGAGACCTCCCTCCTTCCTGAGACATCGCCCACTTTCCCTCCCCCCCTCCTCCTGAGTGCCCACCTTCAAGCTGTCCCATTCCCCCCCACCTCCTTCTCTAAATCCCTTCCTTCACTCCCCAGTCCCTGGACCTACTCCCCCCTCCCCATCCCCTTTTGCGTCGCTTGTCCTCCTGCAAGTGTCTGTTCCTAGAAGTGTCTCACCTTCCACCCCAGCCCTCTCCAAGTTCCCCCTCCCTCTTCCTGACAGCCTCCCCGTTCCTGTCCCTTCCTGCCTCCATCCCCTAGCCCTCCCTCCCTCTGAGCACCCTTCTGTCCTCAGAGCCCCTCCACCCCCTCCCCAGGCTGTGCCCCTGCCATATCCTTGCTCAGGATAACCCCTCCCCCTTCCTCCTCTTGCAGTTCTGCTGAGGGAAGGGCTCCTGGATTGGCACAGTGACCCTGGCTTGAAAGGTGTGTTCCTGGCACCCGGCCTGAGCTACGATGAGCACACGCAGGAGCTGGTGGTGTCTGAGGCCGGCATCTACTACGTCTTCTTGCACCTGGAGCTGCGACGTGTGGTGTCCGGATCTGCCTCTGGCTCTGTCTCCATTGCCTTGCACCTGCAGCCACTGGGCACAGGGGCTGCGACTCTGGCCCTGACCTTGGACCTGCCATCTGAAGGCCCGGACTCAGCAGCTGGTTTCCGGAGTGGCCTGCTGCACCTGCGTGCTGGCCAGCGCCTGGGTGTCCATCTCAGTGCTGCGGCTGGGGTGCACCTCACCTGGCAGCTTGCACAAGGTGCCACAGTCTTGGGCCTCTACCGAGTGGCCACCAAGGTCCCTGCTGGACTGCCCTCAGGACGTCCTTCATGAGGCAGGCAGGGTTGCCACCCCCCTGCAGGGAGACTAAATCCTGCCTTTCTTCCGTGGGGCCCTCGGGTGACGGGCCCTGGCTTCTCTACCTCACCAGGCAGGGCAGGAGTTCTGGCTGCTGACCCCCTCCTCAGGGACTTGCCTGGTCCCTCTATCACCCCTGTCCCAAGTCAAACCCTTGGTATTTATTATAAGCCTGAGCTCAGACAGTGGGCTTTGTATTTATCTGTTTAACTTATATTTATTGAGCGCCCAGGCCAGGTACTGTGCAGCAGAGCTAGAGAAACAGACCAGAACAAACAAACAAACAGCAGCAAGCAAAACAGACCTCAAAAAAAATCCTTACTTATGTTAATATGTGAGAAATAAAGACTCATTCCTAGCCTCCCCCTTTGGGATTTGTGGGGTAGCTTAGGGGGGTCTGCAGAATTCTTTGTCGTGTGAGTTTCATTCATGCAACTTGTTGTTTCACCATCTACGATGTGTCGGGCACTGTTTTAGGTGTTGAGGATACAGCAACGAACAAAACAGACGAAAACTCCAGCTTTTGCCAAGCTGACGTCTCATGGGCCGGTTTGCCACTGTGACTGTGATTGTCTGTGACCTGGTGTGCCTGTGCCAGGGGGCAGTGTGAGATGGTGGATAGTACTGGGTAATAAACTATTTATAAATTTAATGATGACATTACTGAGCTTTTTACTGTACACCAGACGGTGTTATCGGAGACTCATAGCTACTGTATGTGTTAAGGATTTTTTTTTTTTCCATTTTACTATTTGTATGCTCTTGAGGTTATTTTCCTCTATGGTAAGTGGGTGGTGGAAACACTGTAGAATACAGTTCTGCAGGAAATCACTTGCCAGCTTTGCTCAGTGCTGTCACACCAGTAACTTAAAATTAGCTACGGGAATCAGCAAATGCTACAAGCCAGGGCTTGCTTTATTGTCTGTGGTCATCTCGACTGAACGTGATGGAGGAATTGATGTTAAACAAGTAGATTAGACTTAAAACTGCATCTTGTCTCTATCTGTTATGTTGTGAACACCAAGGAAGTCTTCATCTAGTGTTTTCAAACCATCATAAGATTTTGTAAAGAAGTTGCTCATGCTTTTACAAGCAAGTGAAGTGTGGACATACATCTTTGGCCCGTTTTATCTTAGTATTATTATTATTTTTTTAGTTGATTTCAGAGAGGAAGAGAGGAGAAAGAGAGATAGAAACATCAATGATGACAGACTCATTGATTGGCTGCCTCCTGCACAACCCCGACTGGGATTTGAGCCCACAACTTGGGCATTGAATCTGGGACCCTTTAATCTACAGGCTGATGTTCTATCCACTGAGCCAAACTGGCTAGGGCTTATCTTAGTCTTTAAAAGAAAATACAATCTATATCACTTGTTTGTCCCTTGCATGCAGGGTTGAGTATGGGTACAAGAGTGGGAAAAATTAAGGCATTCTGTAGAGAATCAATGAACTACATAGAATCTACAAATAAGAGTATTCTCTATTTTATTCATAAATGGTGCCTACACAATTATTTATGCCTACAAAATTTATAATAGACACACAATTTCACCCTCCCCCCCATAGTCAGCCCTGCGTGCAAGTGACAAACTAATGATGTAGATTGTATTTTCCTACATCACTTTATCTTTTTTTTCTTCTTTTTTTTTTTGTGGCTCTCAAGAGAAGATTTTATTTTATTTTTTATTTATTTATTTATTTATTTATTTTTTTTACATATTTTATTGATTTTTTTTTACCCCCCTCCCTCCCTCCCATACATCCCCTCCCTCCCCAGAGTTTTATGTCCATTGGTTGTACTTATATGCATGTATATAAGTCCTTCGGTTGACCTATTATCTCCCCTAGATCTTCCTCCCCTCCCCACTGTAATTTGACACTTTATCTTTTAAAAACTAAGATAAGCCTTAGCCTGTTTGGCTCAGTGGATAGAGTGTCAGCCTGTAGACTGAAGGGTCCTGGATTCAATTCTGGTCAAGGGCACATGCCTGGGTTAGGGCTTGATCCTAGGTAGGGGGCGTGCAGGAGGCAGCCAATCAATGATTCTCATCATTGATGTTTCTATCTCTCTTTCCTCTCCCTTCCTCTCTGAAATCAATTAAAAAAAAAAAAAAAAAAGAGAATAAGACAAAACGGGCCAAAGATATATGTCCACACTTCACTTGCTTGTGAAAACATGAGCAACTTCTTTACAAAATCAGATAACGGTTGAAAACACAGCACCAGCATGCTGTCCCTTTCTCCAGACCTAGCCAGTTCTCCCTGCCCCATAATTTTGTCACCATGCAGAACGTCTGCCCTGGTCCATATAAACTGGCTGGACCAAGGCTTTCCTTCAGATCTAGGACAAAAGGGGCTGGGTGGACAGAGAAGTCTCCACAGAGCAGACTTTGATTGGTCTTAAGAAGAAGGAAGGGGTGAGTGAGATAGAGGTAGGAGAGTTTGGTCTGCAGTGGTCAGACAGGAGGGTGTGGGATGGACAGCAAAAGTGTGGAAGTGAAAATGAATGGCATTTGCCTCTTCCATTTCTACTTCAGGGGTTTGTCTCTCCTGAGTGGGCAGAATGACATTGAGCTAACACCCCTGAGCATGGCCATATTAGGCATTAAATTATTAAATTAGTTCTGTGCTGGTTGGCAAATACCCCTTACTTCTAATCCCCATTCCTGGATACTTCCTTTGGACCCCTAGGATGGCTCCTGTGAAAATTTTGGGGAAAGGTAGCCCCCAGAATTCTTGGTCCAGGGACCACAGTCTAATCTGATTGGTCAGCGTCTGGCTACACTGGTTGTTGTCCATTGAATAACACCCTTGCCACCAGGTGATGCCTTCCCTTGGCACAGCTGATTGGGTGGATTCATAATGCAAGCTGAGCCAATCTCCACAAAGTGGGCGGACTTGACCTCACAGGCAGTGTTAGTCAGGAAATCGCACCTCTACAGGAGAGAGAAGCATGAAAGGGCCCATATGCAGAAAGAGAAAGAGAGAGAGAGAGAGAGAGAGAGAGAGAGAGAGAGAGAGAGAGAGAGAGAGAGACAGACAGACAGACGGAAGATGCACAGGAATTCACAGGTGAGACCACAGAACCCTGGAAAGATAGAAGAGGGACCTAGGTTTTCTACTTGCCCCTTCCTGGTGACATGGGAAGCCCTATGCCTTTCGGAAAACCCTATGACAGGGTGGGACGAAAGTAGGTTTACGTTGTGAGTACACAAAACACAGACTTTATTCTTTTAGTATTATTTATTAATTATTGTATTATTTTCCATACAAATGACTGTCATCCTACTTTTGCCCCACCCTGCAGATTCTGAGGGCCACAAACTGGGTGGCTTAAAACAACAGACAAGTATTGTCCCCCAGGTCTGGAGGCCAGAAGTCCAAAATCAAGGTGCCAGCAGGGCCATGCTTCCTCTAAAGCAGTGGTTCTCACCCTTTCTTTCTTTCTTTTCTTTTTTTTTTTTTTTTTTAAATATATTTTATTGATTTTACACAGAGAGGAATTGAGAGGGATAGAGAACTAGAAATGTCGATGAGAGAGAAACATCAACCAGCTGCCTCTTGCACCCCCTAACTGGGGATGTGTTTGCAACCAAGGTACATGCACTTGACCGTAATCGAACCCGGGACCTTTCAGTCCGCAGGCTGGTGCTCTATCCACTGAGCCAAACCAGTTTCTGCGGTTCTCTCCCTTTCTAAAGCCTTGACCGTTTAATACAGTTCCTCATGTTGTGGTGACCCCAACCATAAAATTATTTTCGTTGCTACCTCATAACTGTAATTTTGCTACCTCATAACTGTAACTTTGCTACTGTTATGAATCGTAATGCAAGCATCTGTGTTTTCCGATGGTCTTAGGTGACCTTGCTAGCGGTCACCTAAGAGCGTCTGAAAACAGATACTTATATTATGATTCATAATATAAGTATCAAAATTACAGTTATGAGGTAGCAACGAAAATAATTTTAAGGTTGGGGTCACCACAACATGAGGAAGTGTATTAAAGGGTTGCGGCATTAGAAAGGCTGAGAACCACTGCTCTAGAGGCTCTAAGGAAGAATCCTTGCCTACCTCTTCCAGTTCCCAGTAGTTGCCCACAATCCTCAGTATTCCTTGCTTCATCGGTGCAATACTCCTATCTCTGCCTCTCTCTTCAATGGCCTTCTTCGCTCTGTGTGTCTCTGTTTTCATTTCTCTTCTCTTCCTGAAAGGACAAGTCATATTAATGTAGGGCCTACACTCATCTAGTATGACCTCTTCTTAATTTAATTACAGTTCAGTGGTTGAGTGTCAACCTATGAACCAGGAAGTCAGGGTTCGATTCCAGGTCGGGGCACATGCCCATGTTGTGGGCTCGATCCTCAGTGGGGTGTGTGCAAGGAAGCAGCTGATCAGTGGTTCTCTCTCATCATTGATGTTTCTATCTCTCCCTCTTCCTTCCTCTCAGAAATCAATAAAAACCATTTAAAACAATTTAATTACATCTGCAAAGATCCTATTTTTAAAAAGGGTCATAATCTGAGGTTCCATGAAGGACATGAATCTTGGGGGGACACTTCTACCCAGTACATCTAGAATCTCCCCTTGGGGGCAATGAGAAACTTCTGCATCCTATGATTTTCCTTCTGGGGAGGGTTCTGTTCTCTGCTGCCAAATGACTTTTAAGATAGTGGTCCTTGCCCTAACTGGTTTGGCTCAAAGGATAGAGCGTCAGCCTGTGGACTCAAGGGTCCCAAGTTCAAGTCTGATAAAGGCATGTACCTTGGTTGTGGGCACATACCCAGTAGGGAGTGTGCAGGAAGCAGCTGATTGATGTTTCTTTCTCATCAGTGTTTCTAATTCTCTCTATCCCTCTCCCTTCCTCTCTGTAAAAAGTCAATAAAAAAAAAAAAAAGAGATAGCTCTTTCCCATCTTGCAAGATGGCAGGTGAAAAAAACCCCGAGAAGCCGGATACTAAAGAGAAGAAGCCTGA